CTACTGAACAAATCTTCCAGGTTCTGAAGGCTAGACACCGGACTAGATTACGTTTGTATTTCACTGGAACCAAGCTATATAAGTTGGTATACAAATATGTGTTGATTGGACGATAAAATGTGGTGAATAGCAGTTGAGAAAGATGTAAAATAAAACAAAATTTGTGAACCGGTGGTTTAGTTTAGGAAACCGAGAAACAAAGAAGGGCAGAGAGGGAACAGGGATGAAACAAGAGTAGCGAGATAACATGCTTCCGGTTTAGGTCAGAGGGTCACGGGTGAATTGGCGTTCTGTGTTGTTCCTGGGCCAGGGTAGCTCGAGGGCTTTAATAAACTGTTTCTATGAGCATGAAGTTGGTCGAGATAAGATGGCATTGTCGGATGGGGGGTTGGAATGGTTTGAGGGCACCTTGTAGACGACTTTGAACGCATCTTCCTTTACCCGGTGTCAGGATCCGTAATTGAACTCAATATTATCCTTGTGGTTCCCGTGTTTACCAAGCTGGTCTACGTTCCTTGATTCATTGTGAAAATTGCCTAATCTTTCTGTCTATGCCGAACGTGAGCAAACAAAAGAATAGGTCGTTATGATGAAAGCCAGGAATGGCAATTTGTCTTTGAGGTTCCAAGACAACATCGACCTCTTGGTAAAATGTGGACATGAAGGGGCCGAAACAACAGTTCGAGCTACCGTCTTATCTAGGCGTGTTGCTAACAAACCACATTTGCAGTCATCTTTGAACGGGAGATGTATGCAGATTTTATTTTGATTAGTCACTGTTATTCTTTTGGTTTGTCACACATATTTTTCGGAACTTAAACTCTTTGGATAGCCTTTGTCCAAAGTGTCTGCCTTTGTCGATTCAATTCTGACCGCAGGTTTTCTGGTACACGTACAAGAAGCTAGGGTTCGGCCGAGGTTTCGCTAACGCCTCCAAGGTATGAAATACGTCGACTACAACCAGTCGTGAACAGGTCCTAAATGACTCACAAACAACCAAGTTACTACTGATCAAGCCAGAAGAATGGGGTTGTGGTAGGCGTGTATTAACGTGCCATGAGACAGGAAATGTACACTGGTACGCGCCAATGGAAATTATCGTTAAGATGCGAAGGCAACAAGGGCCAGCGAGCGCGACAACCTGCAAACGGATCGAAGGCAAACGAAAGTGTAAGTCCTCGCTCGGAAAGACACACTATATAGGAACCGTGTAAAACACATGTCGTAATGCGTTTATATTGAGTTGAAACTGCGAACGTACAGTGAGATTATGAAGGAAACGTGATGCCCGGCAAAAGTCCGGGTTTTAAATTACAATCGATCACATCATTGGCAAAGTGAGTCTACTAACCTGTCCACATTGTTTTCTCTGTAGGCTGATGCACCAATTGTTCCATCTGAGCACTTGGTAAGATTAACTTCTAAAGAATAAGATGTGGTCACCATTTCCATTTTCGAAGTCAAAGTTTTATTATGGGAATAGCTTACAAGCTGGTGCTTCTCTTGTCCCATAGGATGTTTACATAGATGAATCGTTACACATCGAAAAAGGAGTCGCATAGAGATCCGGGTAGGAAATACAGAATGTAGGATACAGTGAATTTCCGTTTGCCTTTAGTGTACGAATGAGGTGTGCCAAGGTTTTGTCGAGTCTCTCCTTTAAAGATTCAATTGTGGGTGCACAAACGACATGAGATGGAAGGGCGTTCCAAGATTTGCATACTCTGCCTGCAAAAGGCTGGCGCC